GTATTGTAGTTACATCTGGATGTCCACTGATAACTTCTTCAAGCAATGACACACATGGAAGATGACTGAATCTGCATGATAATGTTACACAACACAAAGGCTGCACTTACAGGACAACAACACAGTGATGCACTACAAGGAAGCATTAGAGTTTCCTGCTAATGCAATTCATCAATCAAAATCACATACCAACCTCAGCCACTAACAGAATATAATATGTTCAAGTCTATGATCAAATATTTTCTTAGCCACACTTCATAATTAACCTAACAGAAGGCAGAAGACTTCCTCATAGTGCTATGCATCACAATAGGCCTACATGTAGCTCATTATATTACAATATTATGTTCTGAGTCAGACCAAATATCAAACTTACAAAATATAGATAAGCTGTGTATGGCTTTTGGACACTAAAGTGTAATGTTTGAAATGCTGACAGTTTTCTCCAGGACACTTAGCAGAAACCATACATCAAACTACTGCAAGCTTGTAAACCACTAAAATTTAGATCCAAATTCATGGTTTCAAATGTACCTCTTCAACTTTTGCCTGTGTCTGCTGAAGGCGTTTCTGGGCAGCATGGTTTTGTGGATTGCTCTGAGCACCGGCCACCCCATCATCCCCATTCCCTGAGTATCTTCCTGCGCTGTCCATTCTGGTGAACCTGTGAAAAAAAATTGGGCCTTGTCCACAGAAATATACTCTGACACAACTGAAAAACCCAAATGCTACACCATTAATAAATTGCACTCAATGACATTTTTTCGCAAAGAGCATATTTCTTAACTAAATTGACTAGACAATCTTCATGAAGATGACTACATCTTGTCAATGACCAAAACTGATAAGCTCATCGTACAAAAGCAGATAGTGAACCAACGTTTTAATTATTTACGATCCTGTAATTGTACAACAAAAATTCAGACAGAACGGTTATTGTTAGAATCTAATTACCGAGGTATGATATTATAAATACGTCTGCAATATTTGTGGGTGACGTTTGTCAGGCACAAGGGAGAAAGATCAAAAGGGTGTGAAACTTACCTTTCAGAGCGAAAACTTTTTGATTGGTTCAACTATAAATTTTACAGCTGCACTTGAAATACACTGCCACACCCTTATTTACACAACTGATCTATTTTCTGTGACCTATGATGCTCTCCGACCTTATACAATAATACTGTCTATTCGTGTTCCCTTCGGACGTTCATGAATTACGGCTGACCGATAAAGTTCCGGGTGACGTCATAGAGCGACGACAACTGTTTAGGCAAGAAGTGGGAGTAAACTTGATTGAATTCATCATGTACTTTCAAAGGCGTAACCAAACAAAAGAACAATGCATATTTTGATTTTCATATCGCAATGTGATATGATTATTTAATGTAAAACAGTTGGCGTTTACTGATATTACAAACTGAAGTAGAAGGGCGGATAATACTTCATTAAGATTGCACAAGCTCTCAAATAATTTTCATGCAACCATTATAACAAATATAATAATATATGAATTTAAAATAAACATAAAATGTAAACGATTTTTTAAATACACATACAGCTTCAACAAGGTATACCACATGAAAGTACACGCGCATTGTTTCACGTAGTAATTAGTTCTTTGTCTTCTCACCATGGTTGGAAACTCATGCGGCCAGTTCTATCAAAAGGTTAGTTGAGATTCCATGATACCATGGATCAACTTCATACTCTAATACACCATGCTCATAGATAAAGATATTGTAGACACTATTAAGTATACATAAGAACAATTTCTGAATGTTAAAATTTGTGGTGTCGTTCTTGTTGAGAAATTGAGTTTGTAAATTGGAAGAAAAACACATTATAAAAAGAAAGAATAAAATGTTATAATGTCGTGACTGTGAAGTTTGTCAGCTCACCTATGACACTAAACATCGATAACTGATCAATGAGTAATTTATTTAAAGGGAACAAAATTAAGAAGTTATATACCAACTTGAATAAACATGAAGAATGAGTTGCACAAATACATTTTATCTAACTTTTACAGACATTCACCACAGTTTTAATTTTAATTTTATCAAGTGAGATGACGTCATGCTCGGGTTGTTAGTCGTCTACGATCATATGCCTACATCTTACTTATCTCCACCATGGGAGAGGGACCATTGGCGGGCTCTTTTGAATACGGTGAACAGAAAATACAAGCTTAATTATTCTATTAATTACATGTGATTCGCAAACTAGGCGCCAGCCTAATGAGGCAAAATTGAGAGGGGGGAACGGAGCAGCAAAAAATGAATTAATAAAAATTGACAGTGGAACCACGGTTCCGGAGAATCGGACGTAAATACGTCTCTGTAATGTAATGTAATAATTCTTATATAAGATAAGTACCTGTGATATTCTAAAACGTTTTTACCAGTACAAAAATTATCTACTCTACGACGCACTTCTTCTACAAGCGATTCACAGCTGAGCTCTTTCCGCAATAACGAAAGCGGATTGTTGACGGCAGTAATTTAATACAACAGTGCCGAGTAAACAGATGACGTTTCTTAGGTAACATAACAATGAAGTTACACTTTTTCGTTTCCCTTTTTGCCGAATGACCCGTTTAGACGTATTTACGTCAAAAAAGAAAGACAAATATAATAAAACAAAATCTAATGGAAGTCTAGCTGCATAAGATATTCCACTTTCTAACAACGAATGATATCTTATTTGATAGCATTTTTTATTACAACGGACAGCACAAAATAATTAATAATGCATTTACGATTAATTTTATGAAAATTTGATACATCTTACAACAGTATTTTCAATTGTATTGTTGATTTTCATATGGTTTGAACATCGCAACAATGTAATTATGCGAAGCAACGCGACTCTAACTTTACAGATCTAAATCCAAAAGATTCTTGTTTGTTTGATTAATTTTGTTTTGTTATTGTTTCGCTATTTCGTTTAGGTATATTTATGCCGGCGTTCCTCAGAAGTGGAAATTGTTTGTCCTTCTCGCATACCCAAATCATGTGACGGGTCGCAGGTTGTCGACCCCTGTATCCAACAGAAACAAACATTAAATGTGCTGAAATGCATAATTACACACTTGGACGAACTGAGTGCAGGCAAGTTGGAAGCTGGCGTTAATTTCAGTTCAGCCAGGGTCCTTTGCGAGTTCGTTTGGTTGCGTAGCAACGAATGCGGATAGCAGCACAGCGATGGGTTCAATGGCTGGACGACCGGGGTTTGATTCCAGACACCTTTTTCTCGTCTTTTAGCCAACTAGAGCAAAGGAGATGATGTAGCCGGAGCCTGATAAATGGAGGCACTAATAACCTCTGAAACGTCGGTCAATATCTACCAGATTACATGGCGTATCATCCCAGAAGACAGTCTTCACCTTGCTAGTATGACGAATCCGAAGGGTGAATTGGGTTTTGGGGTGAGATTTTAACGTTCAGATATTTTATAAAAAATTCAACTTGGGAAGGCCAAGTTAAGACGTGGAAAGGCGTGGAGGGGGCGAGAAATGCAGTAATTGGCAATTAGAGATATGCAAGTGTGGAGCTACATGAAGAAGGGGACAAAATTTATAATTACCAGGCGAATTCATTGTAGATTTCAAATACCAAGTCTCGTGAAAATCCGTCGAGTCATTTCAGACGGACTGACAGGCAAACAAGTAGATTCTAGCTACAGCCTTTTTTTTAACAAGCCTTTCTATTAGAACATTTAATACAGAATTGGTGCATAACAACAATGGGTGATTCCGGCAAGTTGTATCTAATTGGAAATGCAGACTGCTTTAATATTTAGCGTCTTTGTTATTAATTTGTGTCTATGTAGACATAAACAATGCAATTGTACTAACCTGGATAATATCCGGTTCTGGATCCATTTATTGGCAGATCTTATGTGGATTACACCGTTCCGTTTTATCCTGGCCGGACTTCGTTGCCATGCACCAGACCTGCTTGTGGTATTGACCAAAATTAAGCGGCGGGGTAAAGAATCATATGACGTCATGTGATGACGTCACACCCAAATGTCCGCAGCGCAATTGTCGACACAGGAATGCAGTCGATTGTCTTATCGAGATGGTACATCACGCATTCTTCTTATTTGACATATCGCTCATTGTTGGCATTCACCGCGGATATCTGAAGAGCATTTCGCCCCTTAAATTTTAGATATAAATTGGCGAAACAGAGATCTCGGTCTCTCAGAGACGTGACTTGTTGAAATCGGGTTAAAATTTTCGGAATCACGCGCTAAAAGTCGGAATGATTACGCATGCGCGATATCTCGTAGGAAGTCGATAGTTTTGCAGACCAAAGACTGGAATTGTCAATACTAGGAGTCGGGATATTCAGGCAGGCAAAGATTTACAGTTTTCAAGCAAGAGTCATACTGAATCATGTAAGTAACAATACTTCTACTTACTTGTAATTACTTCTAGTGGATTTGCGAGCTCTGTGTTGTTGTACGTACAAGAAAGGAATTTGATTTCTCTCCTTCGCGGAGAAGAGGGGCGGATTTTAATCCATGTTGTTACATAGTTATTTCATGATGTAAGAAGATTAAACAATGGTAAAATTGTATCAATTACGCCGTAGTTAACGCAGTTACACTAACGCCTTGGTATTTCCTTTCTAAGAAGAGTACCGCATAAACAGTCTTTACGCCTTTACAATGACATTTGAGTCAAGAACGTCATAAGTGGGGCAGCAATGTCTTCCGGGTTGCATAGTGAACCATTCAAAGGGGAGGTCAGAAGCAGTTTTTGCCCTGATTTATGATTTACCCATTTTTCATGCTGGAAGCTTTAAGATTACAACGCAACTTTTCAAACTGTACGTGTCCTGTTATTTTTTATGGGCGTTTCACTCATTTTGAGGATGGAATATGTATTAAGTGAAGTGCTGAGGTGAAAATTTTGAAGTAAAAAGAAAAAAAAACTCGAATAAATAGGCCACTTCGCGAAATCTAGACGTAGATGGTGAAATAATATTAAAATGTATCCTAGAAAATGGGTTATGAAAATTGCACTGGTTTGGAATAGTGTCTTTGGTGGCATTCTTTTGAAAACCGTAATGAAGTTTCAGGTTATTTAAAGTAGATAAGTTATTTGGGTGTCTGACTGCCTGCAATTTGCTGCAGTCATCCAATATTTAAGTATCGTTCTGATTTACGTTTGAAATTGTATTAGTTTTGATAGTAATTAGATGACAGTACATTGTCTGGGAAGTGACCTACCTGAAAGACGGGACTTCTCAATGTTCTTTCAAGAGCACTTGGCATTTCATAAATCTTATATTTTATGGACAAATATTTTATTACGTATGATATCAGTATCCAATCTGGTACATCACAATTTTTGTCCACTCGTCTGAAAAATTTACTTTTCTTTCGTAGCATTCTAATACGTGTAGTTCAAATTAAGGTCTGCAGCTTTTATCTGAAACAAACTTCTGTAATGCTACGAGGTCAGGGAGTTGCTGGATTTAATACGAGCCAAGTAATGGTTCCCATAAACACGATTTATCAAACGTTGCAAGGCTGTGCAGCGAGGACATGACGTCACGTGTATTCACCACAGTTCCAATTTGTTGTTGTTCATTGTTTTTTTTTTCAGAATTATTAAACTCTTCTAAGGCACTGAACTATAAACAGCGATTTGTAATGGGCGCATACAACTGAAGCCGATCGATAGTGAAGAATCAGACGACAACCCCCAACCCCACAGAATGTCTGCGTGCATTTACATGTTGTAGGCGTTCTTTACGCATAGTATAATTTTGAGCTCTTTATGGCGAGGTAGCACTGATCTTACCGTTATCGACTGAATTAGGGGCAGAATAAATTAACTGAGTGCTATTAAGTCTATTTCCGAGTGTCTCATGCGCAGAATAAGTCAAGCCCCGAAGGCTGCTAGGGAGATAATTTGGAGCAGAAAATTTACGTCAGTCATTGTTCGACTCGTCACCCTCCTTATGACGTTTCCCAACTTCTGAAGAAAATGAAATAATTGTCCATTCATGCATACATTTAGTTATTTACATTCAATATATTATTAATACTTTTAATTTCACGGGGTTGCTAAGGTAATTAGCTGTTCTCTGTTTTAGTTTCAAAATTAGGCTCAACGCAAATGTGTGATCGTGTAGTGGGTACTCGCGATTGTACTCGTGCGTCGTCGTCAGAGCCGCGGGCGAGCCCGTTGTTGTGACATTACTAAGGCCCCACCACGCGAACATGCAAAGGAATCAGACGAAATTATTCTCCAGATTTCCTCATGAACTGCCTCCTGACGTTTGGCGACAGAACATTGAATCACTCTGCATTTGACTAAAGGTCTCTAAATCCGTGGGAAGAAAATTAGTTGATGTCTAAAAATAAATGCAAGTCATAGATTCTAATTGGGTCTAAACTTTATGCTGTTTACAAACTCGTTTGAACGAAGAGCCGTTGTTGAGAAGGTTTATAAACGTTTAAAAGTACCAGCACGAATTTTGTTGCATTTAACTGTTAGTGTAGACCCTCAGTGCCACATTTCATCGAAATACTTTGAATAGTTTCGGAGCTAAAACATGACTTACCCAGCAATATTTTGTTGTCAATTCATGCCTACATATACATGGAACACTCCACTCCCAGATTCGATGTCATTCCTTGAAACATTAATTCTTGCATGGATGTTTGCGACGCAGTTATCAACGCAGAAGTGGCATAAGACGCTCATTTTTCAGTCCATGTGATTTTTGGGTTTATTTAACGACGCTATGGGTAGCTCAGAAATTATGTTTCCAGATGACAGGACGATAAATGAATTGGAAAGGATGTGTAAGGAAGTGGTCATAGCCTGTAGCCTAATTTGAGGTACTACCGCGGTGCAGGTCTGGTGAAGGTGGTCCTGGCGCTGGCAGCCTACAGCCTGGAGAGGATGGAGCTGTTGCTGGGGGCCCCCGGACCCCACAGCAGATTGCAGCTCAGAAGAGATTACAGCAGACGCAGGCACAAGTCGATGAAGTGAGCCCAAAGAACTTTCTGCTTCGCGGTAGTTGCGGCAATGCGGTAGAGTACCACTGAGTTCACCTGTTTGTTATCTTGCTGCAGGTAGTGGACATCATGAAGACAAATGTTGAGAAGGTGCTCGAGAGGGACCAGAAGCTGTCGGAGCTGGACGATCGGGCAGGTCGGTGTGTGTTTGTGTGCAGTGGACAGATACTTTGTTAATTTAAAAAAAACTGTAGGTTTTAAAACTTTAAGGAGATACCCAGTGATAGCAAAACTTAAGGATAAAACACAAACAATTTTAAAACCATGAAAGTAGACATTCACACTGCAACAGATTAGAAAACAGGAAGTGTCGAGTTGAACAAATTTGCATAAAAAGGAGAAAAATTAAACAGAACAAGAGCATCGAAAATGCTGTTGATGAGACTGTGATGCTTTGCACCTCTCACTGTTCTTCCTTGAGAGGTCAAACAGACAGCGAACCTCCGAATGCTCCGAAGAAATATGGTGGCAATAACAGAAATGCCTTTCTTCATGCATTTTTGGATTCTCCTGTCAGACAGGAGGCAGGGTGGATCTGGTGGTGGAGATGAAAATCCTGAATGCCAGTCGCTGTTCTCGCAGCTACGCCAGCTCCAAATTGTTGCTTGTTGTTTGCAGTACTGGAATAAGTTTGAGGTCTTGTTTCACAAGTCTCAAAACATTTATTTTCTGAAACACTGCAAGCAGTTGTAATTGGAGTGCAAGAGAAATGCAGTCTGGTTGTTCTGTTTTGTTTCAGATGCCCTGCAGCAGGGGGCATCACAGTTTGAGCAGCAGGCTGGAAAACTTAAGAGGAAATTCTGGCTGCAGAATCTCAAGGTACATGAAATAACCTCACGGATCCTTTGAAAGAGTAGCAAATGAGAACTAACAAAACAAGACTGATGATCGCTATGTGGGTTTTCCTTTGTGTTCCAGATGATGATCATTATGGGAGTGATCGGTCTGGTAATATTAGCCATCATTGTAGGTGAGTGATCTTCGTCTTCTCAGTGTTGTGACATGACAGTGCGTAAACTGGTGATGAGTGATGCAAGGGTCACTGTTTTGCTTTTGTTGTGGTTGCACAGGTATATAGACGTGGGAGGTGGTCAAACTGAGTTGAAAGTATGCATACTTATGGAGCTACAGCCATCTCATTCTTCATTTGACAGGATTAGATTGGTAAATTTTTTGACGTACGTCAGTGAGATAACCTGTTCCAGTCTGTCCTCCCTGCTGAATGCCAATCATCTCAGTTAATACAATGTTAGAAAGCTACAGACTTCTTTTTACTTTGGTAAAAGCTAATTGGGTCAAAGTCCGCTAGTCAGAAGACCGGGTCACATGACGATACAGCTACTTACCAGTTTCTGTTTTATCTAACATTGATTCCAGTAGTCTTAACAATTAAAAGTCTAAATTTTACAAGTTTCAGGGTCAGAAGTCACTTTGAAACAGTCTGACATCAGGGCATGATGGTTAGCACTCCCATTTCATATTTCTAAGATCCAGTATTGATTCCGAGACATTTAGTGGTTTTCCTCAGTCCACCCAGGAAAGTACTGAGATAGTACATTAAATAGGCCACAACCATTTCCTGCCAAATTCTCCTCTGACTTGACACTGTGTAATCTATGCAGTTTATAAACTGGATTAAATAAACCTAAAAATATCTAATTTGATGCAACGCGTGGGATGGCTGTTACTGTGCGGCAGGTTGACACACCATTCTTTGAAGTTTGTCAAACTGTTGGACTGTACACCTGAGTTCTGTGTTAAGTGCAATGGGGACTCTCAAAACACTGTACTTGCACCATTCATAAACTAAATACAGTTCTAACCAATAAGCAGTCGGTCGATTCTGATGTTAGTGCACAACTCACAGACTGAGTGGAACAGTGTTGCAACATCAAATCAAATAAAAATGTTACCTAGTGAAATCGGCTGCGATGTTTGTGATGCACGCTGAAACCACATCGGACTGATCCTTTTACAGCCATTAATTGAGAATAAAATGTCGATAATTCTAGTCTAATAAATAATGAGTTCGGATCATAGACAGAAAACACTCATATGCCTATGGGTGTATTGTATTATGCGAAGAATAACAGGTTTCAATAATTTGTTAGTTCTACACGTACAATGGCTCAATTTTGTGGTATTTTATGCAGTCCAGTGATTCTAGGCTTTCCTGTGGTCTTCATGGTTTTAACAAATTCTGGGATAATACTTTTAGTTATTCCATGCCCAGGTTGAGCAGACGTCGTGGTTACTGAGCCACATTTCCCCTCATAAAATCTCTCCCTCTTCTAGTACATTGGTAAAGCATTATTAATAATATATATATGTGTGTGTGTGAAGTAAGTTGGAGATTTTCATATTTTTAAATTTTATTTTAAGTCTGTGAAAACAAACAAATATGACTTAAGAGTAATATTTCATTGAATAGAATGATAGGAAAGTATCCAAGCTGTGGATCCAATATAATAGACTGCAGTAAGTGCTTATAGATCATGAAGTAAGATGCCCATGTTATCTAATTTTGTTTAAACATTCATCTCTCCTGAAAATTGACAATGCACCCACTCAAGATATAGAAGATAAATTTATTCCAGTTGGTTTTTCATATGGCAGAGACTCTTGTTATGATATTATTAAAATGAATTTATTTTTTTTAAATTGTAGAAGTGTGTATAAAAGAAAATAATTAAAGAAAGAATGTGTCCCATGATAAGAAAAACCATGGAGAATGACAGGTGATTACATTTCATGAACTTAATTGTAATTAGCTTCACTTTCAGCTGATTATTACATATTGTTCTGTTTGTTTTTTTCTCTCTCTTATAGTCAACTTCATGTAAAAAAATACCAAAAAAAATGTAAACGAAAAACTCACGAACAAAACAAATGTGTGCTACTATGCTGCCCAGGTTAGAAACGTCAATGCAATAGATGTTGCCTATTAGACTTCACTGTGTCTGTGTGTACCAGTTGGCCTAAATTACGTCCCGTGTACAGAAAGTGGCAGAGTAGCGTTACTCAGATATAAGGGGCTCTCAGCTATGAACTGCCTTGTGCTGGATTTCTGTTAGATTGGCTGGATGGGGCACATCAGTTCAGTTCAAGATTATTTAAGCAGTTGAGTCTGAGAACATTAAGTGAACAACTAGGATGCTAGTTAAAAGAAGATGGAATAAGATTAATTTCATGTTATTTAGAGACATTTGGCTTACTTCTTGACAGAACTAGTTGGGGGAAAATTCGCTAAGTTAGAAGGTGGGAATATTGTTATTGTTGCATACCAACATGCGGTTGTAGTCCAAAGGCAGAACAGAACCATTTTGTTTTAGCTGAGAACCTCTTTCTCTCAGTGTTATTACAATGCAGCTGTGGTGCTGCCATGTTCCCCACACTTACAGTTTTATCCTCGAAGTGTGAGACTTTGTATTGTGTGTGTGTGTGTGTGTGTGTATGTGACCTGAGAAGCATGAACACAAGTGGGACGTAATTTACAGCTGACCGACTGATCTGTATGTGTGTCTGTCTGTCTGCCTCTCTTTCTCTCTGTCTTAGCAGCACTGTCCAGAACACAAACAGGAAGATGGTCCCAGTTGAGCTGTATGCTGCAATAGCTAACAACTTGTGTGCTTGTGCACAAGTTGTGTACATATGGGCTAGTAGAAATTGTCATGAACTATTCAATTCATTTAAATCTGCCCATTTTAGAACAGCACGACTTCTAATTCAGAGTTGTTGTGTCCCTCACATTTCAGTATTGGCTGTTTTCTTCAGTTTACATATCACTCTAGTTATTCATGATAACATTAAGAAGCTATTACATACACACATCACACAATTTTACCATTTTAAAATTTTCAGTGAGCGAATATACATTGTTTGTTTCTAATCTTCAATGAAAATCGCGTGGTTTGGTCGTACTTCTAACTGCAAGGTTTGTCATGGTCCCTTTATATCATCTACTTTTAGTCTGTATGACATATGCATTTTTCATTATTTACAGTACTCATTTATACATAACTACACACTTGAAATGGTCCAATGAAAATTTCACATACCTTTGTTTTTCAAGTCATTCCTTTAATGCTATATGAAGCACTCAGATATTTGACTTTTAATTATTATATTGCAGTTCCCTTTCATACTGCAGCTAACTCAAGAATTATATTAATGATAATGGAAGAAACAAGGTCAATCGATAGCATAAAAGAAATGGAAGGACAGTATAAAACAAATAATAATAAAAGCCATTTCTCTTCTCAACCACATTATGTATGACTAACTGTATTAACTTCTCTTCTAATGTAATTAACAACGCACTGTTAAATGATGATGCCACATAATTTAGCAGATGGTGTGACATGATACAGAAACCATTTGTGACTGTTTTGTGCAGGAAATTCTGTACACACGTACGTGTACCAAGCCATAAGAAGATGTGTATGAGACCAAACCCCAGTCCCTAGTAATTCAAATCAACTGACTCTCTTGTCTGATAGAAGTATTAGCTGAGAAATGTAAAATTTGCATTGGATCATGAACATCTTACTGCATCTTGCTCATTGGCTGCACAGTGACATTTTCACAATGGAAAATATTCATAGCACATCTTTCATATGTTTTCCTGAAAGTGTCTTGTCTATCTACCATTATTTTCTGGGACTAACTTCTTCAAGGCATACTTCCATTCAATTACTACCAACTCACAGCAATTCAGAAACAAGTTATATGACGGAGCTGAGTTGCACCATAGTACAGCTCCACTCCAGCAGAAACAAAGACGCCTCAAGTGGTTTGAGGTCACCCACATGGAAATTTCAGTGAAAATTGCATGTTGCACTCAGTGTTTCTGAATTGCGAGTCGAGTTGTTTCAGTGTTGCATATTGTCTCTCTTGCATGCCCTGTGCATGTGAGTGGCTCAGATTGCATGTGTTTGTGTCTGTGTGTATAAGTATGCAGCAGTTTCTGTTGTAAAAGTATCAGGCATTTGTGGCACTAAAATCTTGTTGTGGTTCTGCGTTTGTTGTAATTACAGTTGCCCTACATGTGGGTCTATCTCCTGCTGATTTGATCTATTTGAGTTAATTGATGCAGTTATAAAGCATGGCAGTTTTAATACATATTCAGTAAATCTGTTACAGTTCTATTTTTGACACTGTGTTGATATAAAAGACTTCTTGGCCCCTCACACAGTTGAATGCATTCATTGCTCTGTCATATTTTAGCCTAATTATTTTTAAAGAATAGTATAAATCTGTTGCATTGTATGGGAGATCACTTTTGGTGATGAAATGTGGAAGTACTGTGCTGTCAGCAACTAACCTTGTAAGCTGTGTGCTACAAGTCTGTTTCTCGGCATGCTTAGTGCTTTCACTTTTCCTCACTGAACTCAAACCTTCCATTGCACCACACTTAGAATCATTACATTTTTTTACACATGCTTGTTGATACACATCCAAGCAGGACTGTTAAAATTTCATTGCATACAGTAGTGGGTAGCCTTAATATTATATCCTGTTCAAATCTTGGTCTGTTTATTAGAGAAACAGACAGAGGTTTGTCAGAGTTTTTCTCAGTTCCTTCTGGAAAAAACATCTTAAGACAGGCAGTGGATGCTTCCTTCTAAACTCACCATTTATATAATCATTCTGCAATTTCTCATTCAATACTAAATAAGTCTTGTCATTGACACAGTGTTATTAAATTAAATATAAAATAAATAAGCATGTATACACACAGGTGTGACTCCATATCAACTAGGTCCAGAGCAAGGGCAGTGGGTGCACATCTTTAATAAAATTAGTTATAAATCTACTAAACATGTTAATTCATGTTGATGGCACTCCTTTAAAAATTTACAAGAAATCGCAGATGTTCGGTATGTTAAGGAAGGCTTGAGAACAAAAATATCTGAGCTAGAATTGTAAAGTGTGCAACTTTATTTGCCGGTTGTCATGTGGCACAGTTGTGTTTATTGTGCTCATTGCATTGAAGTTCAGCAACCGCATAACAAAATAATCCTTCATGCAGTTTGTGGTCCCTTGTGACCTTCGCTCACATTTGCATCACGCTTTTCCCAACATGACTCTGTATACTGAAAAAATAAAGAGTGCCAACAAGGTAAGTGAGACACATAGGAAATTACATAACATGCTTCAAAACTTGGATCGACACTTGGCTATTCTGACAGAGGATTTTCATCCATCCTTTCATGCTACATTCTGTGACCATTTCATGTTCTTTGAGTTGAGTTATATAACCAACACAGTTGGAAAAACTACCAAATTCATTGTTAAATAAACCAAGAGGTAGCCAGTCAATCAATGATCTGGGGAGAATGTGAAGTGGAGTGGACTGATCTGCTCATAGAGAGGACACTCACAAGTCTCAACTTGCAGTGTTGCAGTCATAACTTAGAAACAGACGACACTGATGGTCACTAAACAAATCGAGATATCAAGAGATGTGTCACCACTCTACTGCTTCATATTCTTGATGTCGCATGTTTTGAGACAAGTTTATTATGGCTTTCCTCAGTTCATGTGTAGAATATACCATGACTCCTCCTTTTCATTCATCAAATCATTAAATACCACAGAACCTACCCAATTTGTAAGGAAAATTACATAAGAATCGGAAATTGCATGTGCCATAAATAATTTAGCGCGTGTGATTTGTCTCTTTCATGTGAAGACTGCTGTGTCAATGTATTCTGTACTGTCATTCAGAGCTCTGTGAACATTTTGTGCTTGCGTCTCCAGCGCATGTTAATGCAAGAAAGTCTGTCACCTGTGACAGAATTCTTCATAAGAATTGCTTAGCTTAATGAGATCATATATCAGTTATTTTGCATAATGAGGTTTTTCTGAAAAAGTCAGTAAAACTTTTATTTCAGTAGGATTTACATTAGGCTCTTTTGAAACAAAAGTAAATTTTCTTGTCAACTTTTGGTATAGACTCTTGAATGCCAAATTTTATCAAAATTTAATGAATAATTTAAACATGCAAAGAATGCAGACAATGATGCAGACTTGTCAGCATATACTGAAGCGATCAGGAAATTTATTCACAATGGAGAATGTTGATTTTATAGTCACATATAGGATTGTTGCATTTTAACATAGGAAGACAAGTAGGATTTGAGGTTCTCATGGCATTATTTATGAAACTTACTGTCTGCTGGGTTGTAGTGCTGTGAGTCTGGTAGTTCATGACATTTCAGAGGTCCTTCTCATCACTCTGATAATGGAGGCAGCAAGAATATCTAAAATGATGGTTTATTTCTAACAGACTACATGGTGCTACAACCCAGAAGACAGTCTTCCTAAATACTGCTGTGAGAACCACAAATCCTACTTGTATTGTGAAATTATTATTTACAACATTAATTTAATTGATCAAGGTAAGACCTATTGTTTTGGGAACAATGTCAAATGGTTCCGAAACATTGGTCTCTTTGTGTAACCAATTGACGCAGCTGATCGTCTGAGAAGATTTAATTGTATTAATGCTGATTTTATAACTGCTGAAACAGGTGTCAGAGACTCCATTGAAAGAGGTTTCTCATTTGCAGCACATAAAAGTTTAGAAATAATATTTTGTTTGAAGTTGTAAGACAAAAATAACTTACAGTAAAAGCAGCATGCTATAAAGACATATATATTTGGAGAGTGTAGGTTAAGCATTATGAATTCCTAACATTTGCACAATGCAGAATGATCAGCTTTATGCTCTGGCTGCTTGACCTGTTGGACAGGACATTGCAAGCTGTGCAGAGCTGGTTTGTTGGTCTCAGCCAGTTTGAGATCCTGAAGCAGATAATTTTGAGTAAGATATTCTATAAAATTAATTAGTGTCTTTGACAACCAGTATGATTACTTAGGAAGTTTCACGCACATATAATAAAGTAAAAATTATAGTTCTTTGTGTTTTAGTGTTTCTTGTTTTTTTTAGGTAGGGCCAACTGTTGTTCTGTAAATCTCACGGCTTCCCACAGTTCCTCCATGAAGGTTCTATACAGACCATGACTGCCTCAAGTGTAGTTAAACCCCTTAAGACATGCACTGCTAAACAAGTTCTGCAGTTGATTTAGTGTCTTTAGATAAAATACGAATAACTACCCAGTTGTAACAATTATTTCAATGTAATATTTATGGAGAAAAAGTTCATAATAGTGAAAAGTTTTGCATATGAAACGAAATATTTTCCAAGGAAGTCAAATAACATTCCATAAGTCTTGACTCAGACTCAGAAAGTTAAGAAAGACCATGTCGATTGGATAAAATTTCTGTAACTGCATTGCATTTTGAGATATGTGATGTGTGTGTGAAATGCAGCCATCAACCCATCAGACTTGATCATTCCATGACATACACAAGCATTGTTGCATGCTGTGCCTGCGGAATGTTGTTTTGTTTATGACGGTGCTTAATGCTCAGCAAACAACCTGAGGTCACAGGTTGGGTTCTTGCTGACAGCATGGCTATTTTATCTTTCTGCAAAATAATCCAAGTGTATTTATAAGAAAAGTACACACTTTGTATGTCATTAATCTTGGTATCAATTCATTGTAAAGTCTGATCTCACTACTAGGTCAGGAAGTGTTAATTTTTGTTCTTACATATTCATGATATAGAAAAAATGCTTCAAATGAAATTTGTAGACCTCAGAAATATGTATATTTTATGTTACATACCAGCAACATGCCTAAATACGGAACACCAGTGGCGGTGACTGTAATTTATTGTTTGTACGTATCTTGGAGGTCATGGTTCCAAGCTTGGTCAAGAGATTGTTTCCAAGTAATGGAAATATTCCATCTCCTTTGAAGCTACTTAACTAGGACATAGTTATTTGTTTCCAGACTTAGAACTCTTTGGATGTAACTTCCCAACATATTCAATGATACAGTTTCATTAAGTAATTGGAGAAACAAACAAACAAACAACAGCTACAGCTGGAGTCTGCTTTCTTCTGTCAAGTTGTAATTTAGTTCAGATAACCTTGTACTGCATGATGGAAGCTGTAATAACTCTGCTGAGAAGATACAACAAGAACACAAATATCAAAATCAGTAACAAAAAAGTCTTATAACTTTGTGTTTACTGGTGGGGGTTGCCTTGTCATTACAGAGTTAAAGGGAGGCAAGATTACACTACTTCATCCAGATTGTATGAGTGTTCATACTAGTACTGTGATTACATAAGACTTGCCACATGACAACTGTAAGCTCTGTGCTTCAGCTGAGCTGAGCTGATAGGAACAGGAAGTTTCATATGCATGCCACAACAGAGTTGAGCGGCAGACGGAAATATTGGTTTTATAATATTTTACCAGATCACTTACTAAAAGTCATGGCAGTGCCACAAACATGAAAATGTTTGTGTCCTTTTTCTACACTGCGTGGCAGTGATGGTGTTCACAATGACAGGGGTCAAGCTACACGACTGCTTTGTTAATACCTGCCACTGTTGATTATTATGGTAAAGCTATCAGAATATGAGATATTTGACATTTCCACAGCAGTGAAGACTTGGATTGTGGTCTTCTATATTATGACACTTTGTAGTCTTGTAGGTGGTTCCCATCATTACAGAGCAACTTCCTGCCTCAATCTTCAGAGCAACCATCTGCAAAACTACACTGCATTATAACATGGAAAACTGAAATGTGGTGGTGCAGAATATGGTTTCAATTCCCCTAACCTAACCTAACCTAACCTAACAAGGAATGGGGAAACAAAGATCATATTCTCTACTTTAACCTTAATTAATTCTGAAACAATGTTTAATTCTTTGTTGCTTTGCAGTCAAGTTCATGCCTGAGTCGAGTCCGGCCAGTCAGCCCTCACAGAATTATCAACAGCTGCTACCTGCACATGCTGTAACTGCCCCTGCCCCTAGCGCTGTGGATACCAAATCTTTAGCCTAAACTGTATAGTGCTGTGTCTGTTGTCAACCTCTTGGCATCATGCCCCAAACCCAAGAGTGAATTTGAGGCTCTCATGCACTGAAAATTAGCTTACAACATATACATTAGAATACTGATGTCAACAGGTTGAGAGACATCTGTCTTATTTTTGGAAAGGAGCAAGCACTACAGTTTGGGTTCCTCAGTTTATGCAATAGACCTCTCTCTCTCTCTCTCTTTCTACAAAGCCTTGTAATACATGTTTGTGCATTTTGTTCTCACTGCAACCAACTCCACCTGGGTTCACAAATGGCATGACACTACTCTAAAAAGCAAAATTATCTCTTGCAAATCGGTAAATGTAGCATGAGGAACCAACTAATGGAACACCAAACACATGAATGAGGTTATCAGTAATATTCAGGAAAGTTTTGTTTGGTTGGGCTGCAGAGCACGGTCTCCTGTACAGAAAACTTTGTTACTTAATTGGTGTGAATTAAATAGCTGGCATTCAACAAATATCGTTTTGCTGTTGTTTTCAGGTAGCCTCATATCTTATTGAATCTCTACTCAAAAAGAACACAGTTTTATAAATAAAGTAGTTTTCCTTATTTGTGTAGCTTGTCACATGCATCTATAAGACTGCTCAGCTTGTAGTAGTATTTCTCTTTTATTTGTCTCTTAATTGATGTATGTATATATCAGAGAAACGTACAAGTGAAATATGTTGGCAGCACTTCATTTTCCACAATTTGTTGACAATATTGTCTGCCCTATCCCTGTAAAATAGCTGCATCTCCAAGTAAGGCAAGACAAGAAGAAAACACCAAAATAATTTTTGTTTGTTTTCACTGCACTCGAATGTCTTACTTCCCCGGGGGATGCGTGTTGCTCGAGGGTGGGGCACATGCCACCTGTATCCAGGGGTTGCAGGTCTGAGATTGTCTGATAATGGTCTGTCTCATGGCAAAGGCTTGAAGAGGAACATCTTCAGTCACAGTTAGGCTTCTGCTTTTGAGATTGTTGCAGTATATTGGGATTAACTTTGTGTAAGTTATAGCATTCCCCCAGCCACTGAAGCAGATCATATTTCAAGAACAAACAATAACATAAATTATACTGTTGATTCAAACACCCACCGACTGGGGGTCCTGAACAATCTGGCTTATGTATTGGTTTATTCTTGTGATACACTTGGGTAAGGCCTATGTAACTTAGCAACCCTTGGATTAATATTTGTTAGATGTGAACTGTACAGTTCCTGCACTCACCAAGATGATTTTGATTTTTATTCCCGTGCTTGTTGTTCATTTAAGGGAATAAATTTATGTGTTGAAATATAAGTATTTGTTTAAGGGAACAACACTGTGGCCACGCTATATTTATCATTATAATTATTGTGAACATTCTCATGGATTCACATAAGAAATATTTGCCCATGGTACAATGATGTTTATTAAACTCTTTCTTTTTCCTCTATATTATCAATATATATGTAATATTTGTGTATAGAAGAAATGTGGAATCATGAAATGTAAAGTTAATACCGATATTATGAACATATTACTAGAACATTGTAAAGTTTAATGGGTATAAATATTAAATACAACATTTGTTTTATTGTGGTAAAAATACACAACCTCTCTCCTTATACCCACGTAATCAAATTCTTGATGTCTCTTTTGTTTTACTTTTATAATTGTTTCTAAAACGAAAAACAGTCTCATGGAGTAGCATATCCTGTGGTACACATTTAACACTTTTTCAACTGAGTGGTTGATTTTCAAGAGAATCAGTGTGAAGGCTTTGCTACTAAATGTCACACAACCTTCTAGCTCTTCCTTTCCCGCACAATATCATAAACAAGAAGTACTAGAAAGATGCTTTTTTGTGTTTTTAATCCACATACAAAATTGAAGGGAACAACAGCAGGATAGTGCATTCCAATCAAGGAGGCAGATTTATTATATGCATTCTTTGCAATTCAGCATATCATATTCACCTAGATGTTAACTTATTACAGATGTAAACATTCATAAAACTGTAAAAATGTTTCAAATAAAGTAATTTAATTCAGGTTTTCATCATAATGAGTATGAAGATAACTGTGATATTGCTCTACATTGTCTTGGAGAAACTGGCTGACATTTCAGAGGTGCTTATTTCCTCCATAATCATGGTGATATCCAGGGTGCTTTTATACTGGAGATATTAAGCATATCTGAAAACTGACAGTTTCTGTAAGACTACATGATGCAACATCCCAGAAGACATTTCAGGTAGAAGTTACAGATCTTGAAGAGATTCATATTTTGTTATTTGCAAATTTCTTGAACAATGAGTTATGACAGATCTTCCACATAAGTATTTGTAGTATTAAAACAGTCCGAAGATAGCCATTTTCTGGGTTGTAGAGACCTCCATCAGAGCGTAATACTGTGCATACAATTCTATTCAGTAATGGAAGAAAACTACGCATGATGTTGCATTGCTAGCTGTTTAAAATTGGATTTCACACCTGCTATTCAAACATGCCGGGTTATATATATATGCTCTGTGCGGATAAGATTGTGAGGGATACCACCTTACCAGATGAAAAAAGAAGCAACGGATACGACGTGATATAGGAGGGAAAATTGTTCATGGACAAACAGGTTTTTGTGTCTGTAGTGATGTTCCGATCACTTTGAGATATTTGTGTTAGTTTCGTGGAATTAGTTTTCAGGTAAGGAATGTAAATGTAGTTCTTTTAGTTATATTGTGTGTACGTTCCAATGTCACCAGCATTTCCGTTCAAGGCGGTGAGAAATAAGGTTAGGTTGTTATGTGTTTGAGTTTTTGTCCAACAGATTTACGAACATTTTGGTATTATAGTGCATAGGAATCTGGTTACTACTGTCCTGCACCTCAGGATGTCCTATCTCCGAGCGGAGTTTGAATCCAGAACCTCTCGAATACGAAGCAGGAGTGCTAACCACTCGACCACGACGTTCGATCTGTACTCTGTGTAACAGAATGGCGACAGATTTTCTGAACAATAGAAACAACAGCCCAATCAATTTTACATGTCCCTTCATTACTGAATCTATCACTGGATTCGCAAGTAATGTTATGTCATCTTATAACCACATGTGACACCGAATTTGTTCGTACCGTTTTGGTAATGCAGGTTACCAGCACGCATGAGTTCTAGTGAGTTTTCACTGAATTTGAGTTTGCTGCTGGATAATAGACATACTCACTCTCATTCCACCGTCTTGGTATCCTAATTTGATAAGCATGCTACATGGCTTTATACCCATATCCAGATGATATCAGACTTCCTGAAAGACACCAGAAAGTGTGAGACAGGCATTAGAAGCCTTTGCAGAACAGGTTTAAGTTGTCTATTTAAACTGACTTTTTAAGACTGGAGTGTGTTTTTCCAAAACAGTGTGTGCTGGTAGTAATGAAGTAGTTTGATATACCAGAATACATGGAACCTTGAAGTGTTGGCCAACTCAATACATACTTAAGAATGTGATTGGTTTATCACCCTGTCTTTTTGTTTGAAACTGACCTACTGTGATTAGGATGGGTGTGGAGAAGAAAGCACAGCGACGGAGTCGCAGCAGGGAGAGAGAGAAGGA